TATATTTTCTGTGCCTTTGAGTTGGTATTCTTCTCCTTCTTCTATCCCTATTATTCTTAGGTTTGGTCTTTTCATGGTGTCCCAAATTTCCTGGATGTTTTGTGTTATGACTTTTTTGTCTTTAGTGTTTTCTTTGATTAACGAATCTATTTTTTCTATTGTGTCTTCAACTCAGAGATTTTCTCTTTCATCTCTTGCATTCTGTTGGTTATGCTTGCATCTGTAGTTCCTGTTCGTTTAGTCAGATTTTCTGTTTCCAGCATTCCCTCAGTTTGTGTTTTCTTTATTGTCTCAATTTCAGTTTTTAAATCTTGAATTGTTTCCTTCATCTGTTTAATTGCTTTTTCTTGGCTTTCTTTGATTTATTCCAATTTTTGTTTGTGTTTTCTTCCATTTTTTGAGGGAATTTTTCATTTCCTCTTTAAGGGAGTTTTTCATTTCCTCTTTAAGGGCCTCTGTCATCTTCTTAAAGTCATTTTTAGGATTCATTTCTTTTGTTTCTTCTGATTTGGTATGTTCAGGTCTTGCAGGTGTAGAATCACTAGGTTCTGATGTTGTCATATAGGTCTTTATGTTGTTGCCTGTATTTTTGCACTGGTGTCTACTCATCTCTTCCTCCGCTCAGTGCAGGCGGTGTCTGTGTCTGAGGGTGCCTCTCTTGTTCCAATTGGTAGTCTTGGTCCACTGGGAGTTCTTGGTCAAATCAGTGCTGATGGGCTATGTTTCTCCAGGAGCAGCTTAGTCCAATCCGTGTTAGTGGGTTCCGTCTCAGGGAGCAGCTGTTCCCAATCTGTGCAGGGTGGGCTCATGGCTCTGATGGTTGTTGGTGTCACATGGTGTACTTATGGCTCTGGTGGTTGTTGGTGTCACATGGGATGGTTTTCTTGGTGAGGGGGCAGGGAAAGAGGCAGCTGTCCAGTCACTGGGGCTCCAGTGGCTGTTCCTAGTCTCTGCAGGGTGGGCTTATGACTCCTGTGATCATTGCGGTCACAGGGGCTGGTTTTCTTGGTAGGAGAGCAGAGAAAGGCAGCTGCCGGGTCCCTTGGGCTCCAATGGCTGGGGGAGGGGCAGGTAATATGCCCCTGGGGTCTAGGGGCTAGAGACTTGGTCTGCTGGTCTGGAGATGGGGCCTTATCTATTCTGGGGTCACACTCTGCTCGCTCGCCAACTCCTCAGCTGATCTTGTTTCCTCACACTGCAGGCTTCTGAGACCTCTCCCGAATGGATCTCCGCTAAACAGGTTGATCAGTAGGGCAATCTCACCAACGCCTCCAAGTTGTTGGGCTTTGCATAATCAGCAGCTGGACCCTGGGCTGGCCTCAGGCAGAATGCCTTATTTTTGTTTTTGAGACAGGGTTTCCTTCTGTGAATCTCACTCGTACTCCATGGCTTGCTGTGTAGCTGGGTGTCTGCCCCTGATGTCCTCCTCCTTTCACTCCTCCATCTCTTTTCTTCCTAAAATTGCTGAGTGTGGTCAGGTGGTGGTGGCTCACTCCTTTAATTCCAGCACTCAGGAGGCAGAGGCAGGTGGATCTCTGTGAATTCGAGGCCAGCCTGGTCTACAAAGCGAGTTCTGGGATAGTCAGGACTACACAGGACTATCAAAAACCCACA